AAAATTTAAAGTGACCCATCAAAAGAAATCAACACGCCGTAAAATTCGAAAATGCCAATGCTAGCGCATTGCACTGTGTCCTGACATTGGAACATCTTTGAAATCCGTCATTGGTACAAGGTAGGTTTACGCCAGACCGCGTCTTGTCGTAACAGGCTTCGCGATGTCTCGCGGCCAGTTCCTCCAATCCGCGCCTGGCGTACCTACCTTGGCCTGCGGCGCTAGCCTGCCTTCGGCAGGCATTGGCTTGTCCTGTCGGATACTTCTTACGTGTTGCATGCTGGGGGGCTCCGCCCCCCAGACCCCCCTTAATTCTAGATAGAGTTGCTTCATCTAAAGATAACACGATCTTGACCGTTGTCACTTTTTAACTTGTCGAGGCTGGGGGGCTCCGCCCCCCAGACCCCCCTTTCTTCAAGACAGAGGTGATCTACCTGCAGAAAACTCGATTTTTCGCCGTTTTTTAGGTGTTTTTCGGCTATAAAAACTGAACCAGTTGAGGTACGATCGTGAAATTTCGCGTGTGCCGAGCCAAGAACATACCTAATAAGCCTGCAAAATCTCAGCCAGATCGGCCGAGCCGTTCAGGAGGAGTAGTGTACACACACAGACAGACAGACAGACAGAAAAAGTTTTTCAACCCCACTGGAGTAACAGGCTTCGCTATCGCTCAGCCAAAAACGTTCGTAGCAGAAAAAACGCAATAAATTAATTTTCGTGGGTTGGCAACAATTTTCTCGGTGTCTGCGCCCTTTCGAAAATCGCGAGACTGAAAAAACGAGTAGTCGCGCATTGAAACTGCCCCTTCATTGTTGCTGAGGTTGGATTGTTTGGCATGCTTCTAAAGGCTGCGGTTGACTTGTCATGTTTTCCTCAATTCTGTGACCAGCTAAACGGTTGGTTTGACAAACCGCACTCGCACTCCGTAACAAAGGTGTTTCAAAGGAAGGCCCAAAGAACACCCACCCGTTGAGAGAGAACGATTAGCCGCCTTAGATTAGATGCAGTGGCTGCCTAAAGTCAGCCCAAACCACGATTTCTTCACATTTGTTACCGTTTTGACAAACTTTGCTGCAATACCGCTCCCAAACTAAGGCGGCTAATCGCACTCCGTAACAAAGGTGTTCTAAAGTAAGGTCCAAAGAACACCCACCCGTTGAGGGAGAACGATTAGCCGCCTTAGATTAGACGCAGTGGCTGCCTAAAGTTAGGCCAAACGATGATTTCTACGCATTTGTTACTGTTTTGACAAACTTTGCTGCAATACCGCTCCCAAACTAAGGCGGCTAATCGCATTCCGTAACAAAGGTGTTCTAAAGTAAGGCCCAAAGAACACCCACCCGTGGAGGGAGAACGATTAGCCGCCTTAGATTAGACGCAGTGGCTGCCTAAAGTTAGGCCAAACGATGATTTCTACACATTTGTTACTGTTTTGACAAACTTTGCTGCAATACCGCTCCCAAACTAAGGCGGCTAATCGCACTCCGTAACAAAGGTGTTTCAAAGGAAGGCCCAAAGAACACCCACCCGTTGAGAGAGAACGATTAGCCGCCTTAGATTAGATGCAGTGGCTGCCTAAAGTCAGCCCAAACCACGATTTCTTCACATTTGTCACCGTTTTGACAAACTTTGCTGCAATACCGTTCCCAAACCAGGACTCCTTTTTATTGGTATTTCAAAACTTACTTTTAAACCAGTTATGAAACTGGGAACACCCTGCAATGCGATTAGCATTGGAATTTTTACAACTGCGTTTGGTTGGTTCAAGGGTTTCGTAATTGGACTTTAAGTGGAAAACCTGAACGTAACAATTGGTCTAAAATATGCAAAAGTAATTACCTTTTTAGCAACTTAAAAATATGCTCGAGCCAAAGTTACTGGAATTTTGGGGTGAGGTTTGCGGCGTTCGACTTGGGATGAATATCAGAAAAATAAGATAGAATAAAAAAGAAGGCCAAAATTCTACGATTTTCACTGGCGTGCCCCCTTAACAAATTTTTTCGCACTTTCATGGCTGCACCTCACGTCCTATTTATGGGATGGCCATTTCTGAGGTTCAGACCATAGACGCAAGTGTAACGAACATTTTGCCGCAAACCGCATTAAATTATCTTAATTTTTGCGCCCGTGAGAGTGGCACAAAGGTACAAAAAAATGTTTGGAGAAAAAGCCCTTTAAGTGGAAACATAGATTTGACGTGTTTTTTTTTTCAGATTATAAATGCGTCTTTTTACGTATTTTAGTTCAGTTTCCGCCAAAATGTCCCTCTTTTCAACTGCGTTTGGGTGGTTCAAGGGTTTTGTAATTGAAGTTCAAGTGAAAACCCTGAACGTTAAAAATTAGTCTAAAATATGCAAAAATAATTACGTTTTTAGCGACTTCAAAAATGTGCACAAGCCAAAGTAATTGGAATTTTGGGGTGGGGTTTGCGGCCTTCGACTCGGGATGAATAGCAGAAAAATAAGCTAAAACAAAAGAGAAGGCAAAAATTTGCCGATTTTCACTGGTGTGCCCCCTTAAATTTTATTTTTGGCCATCTACGTAGGTATGCATAAAGCAATCTGCCAAGCCATCAACCGCGGAAATCGAAAGGGGTCACTGAAAGGACCTGTCCTTTTCTTAGAAAAAACTTCTCTTAAGAAAGAGAAAAACTACAAACCTGCACGACTTCCTGGCATCGTTTTATCGGGTGTTCTCTTAAACAACAGCAACTGCTGTACAAATCACAGTGGAAAAAGCAACGGAACTTGCGTCAAGTGTGCGGCGGTCTAATCCTGGACTGCTAGTCCCCGTCATTTCCTACAATTCTCGTTGTACTCTTGTTGAACCTTTCTCAATCTTTCTTCCAGTGTGTCGCAACCTCGGGACAAAGTACTCTGCTCTCTGCTCCGCTCCGCAGGGCCCATACATCGCCTACGGCAATCGATGGGACTCGTGTCCATCAGAAAGTGTGGAGCTTCCCGTCCGCCTGAGCCACTTCAACCCTCTTCGGCCGTACGACCCGCAGACGATTTCAGGGGAAGCGACATACAAAGAAGATTATGGGGACAATTACATTGTAAGGTAGAAGCGGGCTGGCGCATTATTCAAGCCGATCACAATAAGCAGATGAGACTTTGAAATTTTGCCACTTATCTTGTGACATCTTGTGACCATAAGGGTGGGTCGAAAATCTCAGAACTAAACGGAATTCGGTTTTATTTGCAGTTGACTTTACTAGAAAAGAGATCCCACAATGCTGGTGTCTGGTGGCGTCACCTTGTATCTCTTTGGAGGCTCCAAACTTGGGTGTAACAGTGAAATAGGCACTTTTGGCCCTGCAGGGACCAAACTAGGGATCGCCCAGAATGCAGCACAGCTATCTCGGGATGGGCGCAGAATATGTCCCGTTATATCCCTGCAAAGTCTGGGCGATGTAGCTCAACGTCTCGGTTAAGCCCGGGCACTTGTTTTAACTATACAACAAAGTCCCAAAACACTCAAAATTAGATTAAAGTTCTATTCTTTTCTGGAAGGTCTCATTTGCTCATGTGAATCAAAAGAACTTAAAAAATGCAATTTTTCTGTAAATATTACTTTGTGATCGGACGAAAATTGTTGCCAGGGTGACGCTACACATTTAAGCAAAAGCTCAAAAACACAAAGAAGCGATCTTTAAGAGAATATGTATTGTATGTGGATCCAATGTGATCATACTGTTCAAAAGATCTCAAAAATACAATGTATTTGGTATTTAAAGATTTTTGATATGGCAAAAAGCTCGATTTGTTGTCAATTTAAGAAGAAAGTTTTTGCGTTCGGCGGGCCATCTCTTGCCGAGCCAAACAAAGGCTTGGTCCCCTGGGTTGGTCCCTATAGGCCCAAAAGTGCGATAGTAAAGTTTACATGTAAGCTCACAACTATGACGTGGTTATTGCAGACTACTGTTACCATAGCCAAGCGAGCAAACAATCAATGGAAGGAAAACTACTTCGTCGGGAACTTTACCCGGATGGGATGCTCCGTAATTCGTGACCACATTCCTGACCTGTTCCGCATCCTCGCCAAAAAAAATCCGGGAATGGTCACCAAGAAGCCATGTTCCATACCGGCGGTACGTATCATCCATGACACATTTGGGCCTCCAGCAAATCTGACTGAGGGTCGATGGACAAAGTGGCTGGCAAACCCGAGCAAGCGCCGAGCAACTCCGAGCAAGTACCAAGCTTCTCTGTGAAGAGTGATCGGAATTTTACCATACAATGGTCCACCAAAATTCGTAACATGTATAGGAAATACTGATATTCCGATACAAACATAGGAGTTTTCCGATTTGTACAGGATATTTGCAATACAGACTGAAAACGCATAGGAAAATAATTATGTACCATCCAACCGCAAGCAAATTTTACTAAGTTTGACCGTTAGAGACGGTCAAGAGGATAGGCGAAACATTATTTTACGTGCACAATTGGTTTCTTTAATCTGTTGACTTCAAGTTTGTTTGACTTAAATCACATATTATTTTAGCAAGAGGTTGTTTTAAATGATCGCTCTTGTAAAAAAAAAAAACTTGCATTGCAGAAAAGGCCTTTTTTTAAAACAAAAACAGTAAGATAAGTTGTTTTGAAATTTGCCTCTCGAAGAAGAGGGTGACTGCCTGAAAGAAGACACGGGCAGTGACTGCCCGCTGTTGAGGTTTGCTGTCTGAGTTCTGTGTTTGTTGCAGTTGCCTTTTCGGACGCTAGAGGTTTGCCGAGTCCTGACAGCGCCGATGATGGTGTGCAAAATAAGCAGATCCCTTAAAATTGTCTGTTGTTCTGTTTTCTTCGCAGGGCCGCTTCACCTTAAATGATACAATTCATTGGATCTTTCCCAAAGTGCCGATCTTGCCCTATGGGCGGTACCAGTTTCAAATCGTCTCGCAAGTTGCCAATGACACCAAGCGAGTCCCCGTGTGCGTGAAGGTTGACTGCGAGGGGCATCCCGAAGCCCAGAAGGCACTCCGCAATTTAATCTCATTAAGTCTCATTCGTATTTATTTGAGTGGAAATTTTCCCACCCCTATCCTTACAAACTGGTACAAAAATCACCCATTCGTCATTCAAAACACGAAGTGTTGGCACTCCATTTAAAAAAGAAAATGGTCGTCACGTTCATTGATGAAACCACAGCAGCCTACTGTATGACGACGAGCCTGGAATCAGTAGACGCGTCCAAAATTAGCTTTGGAAGTGCACGCAATAACAAGTTCTCACGCGCGATAATGTCCAACCTTGATTTATTTGTTTCTTTGCATTCTCGTGAAGCCCTTCGTCACGAAGCAGGTAAATAAGTAGACGGAGACTGCTGACATCACCTGTGGTAAGGAAAAAGTTCCTAGGGTTAGGTTATCTCAATTTGAGCACTGTCGATGTCGTACCAAGTGTGGACAATCCAATACCTCGATGTGTGAAGTAGCTTTTCACACTTCGACACCTGAAACCTAGACACACGGTCTTCGTGGGGTCTCCGTACAAACACGCCCTTCGGCTGGTCGCTCTATAGTGATGGCCCATTTGCACATGGGCTGCTGTTAAGGGGGGACATCACTCCAAAATGATCAAAAATTGCAACTTTTTTTTATTTGTTTGTATTATTGACCATTTCTTTCTGCGTCGAATGGTGAAAACCGCATTCCGGAATTCAAAAAATTGCAGTTTTAGTTGGTTGTGGGCCGCAAACATGCATAGGGGAAAAGGCCAGTTTCCCCAACTTTGATCGCGTTTTTCTCGGAACATGAAATTGCAAACGGTTGCAGGCCTCTAGGGCGCAGTTTTTGAGCTACAGCGGGGAGATTTAGCATGGAAGCTCCTACCACTTGCCGCTATGGTGGGTAGCAAAATAATTTGCATTGGTCTATTTTTATTATTTTTTCAACGTTTAAAATTGAACAATTTTGACCAAAAAAATTGAACATTATTTTTTGGTATGTAACAAACAGAACTTAAAATGATTTTTGAAATGTGATTGAGGTACCCACCATAGCCAGACATCTCAGGAAGGCTGTCACCAAATTTCAATGTTCTAGGTCAAACCGTTTGGCGTCCAGCGCTGCAACAGTGCGAAATGGTCTAACCTAACACTCAAAAATGTGTTTTCAACGAAAGCGCTGTACTGCCCTGGCGGATTGACTTAGTGTTGTTTTATACTTTATCTCTTAAAATATGAACAATTTTTCTCTTTCCGTTTGGTTTTTATGGCGTTTTTACAAAAGCACTGTTTTTGGAGTGATGTCCTCCCTTAAACGACGTATGCATATTTTTTTGAGATTTTGAGATAACGAGCATTTTTTTACATTCTAACGAACTATATATCTCAAAATGTCAAAAAAATACACTTTCGTCGTTTTACGGCAGCCTATTTGAGGACCGTCACAGCGACCCACCGAATGCGCTGAAAATGGCTGAAAACTGACGTTTAGGATTGCTTCCAATTTTCCTCAAAAGTCGAACTGGTGGAAGTCCCTCTGTCCGCAAAAATGAAAATATCTCAACCTAGTTTGTGCCAAAATATAGGTAATGGAAGCGGCTATCGCAGAAACTAGAACCATGAACATCGAACGAGGGGCAAACAACTTTGTCAAAATTTGTACACCGTTATTTTAAATTCACGTTATTTCATTGTCATTTCAACGTTTTTTCAAGGGATTTTAACGTTATTTCGCTTTATTTCACGTTATTTCGCGTTACTTCACCGTTATTTCAACTTCATTTCACCGTTATTTCACGTTATTTCAAGGAAAATGTACACCAAAATTCAAGTTGTTTGCCCCTCGACATCGAGCAATCGAAAGCACACAATTTCATCCCAAAACAGTTTTTAAGGATTTTGCAAAAATGATAAAAACGGGCATTTTCGTAAAATTTTGTACTTCCGATTTCTTGATGTTCATGATCCTAGTTCATGCGAAAGCTGCTTCAATTACCTTTATTTTGGCGGAAATAGGGTAGAAATATCTTCATTTTTGCAGACTAAAGGACTTCCACCAGTTCGAGTTTTGACGAAAATTTGATTGGGAGCTGCTCCGCTCCCTGACGTTTGATCAATGTCATTCTGGGCTTCAAATCCTTTTTCCATAAAGTCTTGACGCATGAAAACTTTGAACAACCTACAAAAATGCGTATGGAAGCAATCGGACAAGTCAGTTTTCGGCCAATTTAAGTGTTTTGCCCCCAGAAATCTGATTCAGAAATTTGTAGCGACGCAGACTTACAGGACCAAGACCAAACTTCGTAAATGGGAGTGTACCGTAAGCCGGGGTAATATGAGACAATTTCGGGGTAATATGAGACGGAGTTTGGGTTGCGTAAGATTTACTCTGAGCTCGCTATTCGGCCACAAAGAGGGCTTCTGCTGTAAAAAATTAATTTCTCTTTGTTGGTACCATTTTTCATCGTGAAGTTTGACGGGGATGAGTCATCAAATGCCACGAGCATTATAATTCTAACGATAAAAATCATGCGTCTCATATTACCCCGAAATTGTCTCATATTACCCCAGCCTACGGTAAGGGTAGGCACAAGGGTGTCCTCCCCCGGCTTCGCTGGCCTCTGGCGCGCCTTCGCACGTCCAGCGGAAATAATATCATAAAGCGAACAAGTGACACAACTCACTGTTGTGAGGGCGCTGTCGTCGCAGTGGCACACTCCTAGAAGGTCGTACCGGTTGTCCTGCCGCTCGAGGTCTTTGAGCAGAGACCGGGCCTGGGGGCAGGTGGGGCGTGATACAGTAAGCGGCCTGGCTGGGCGGACCAACGCGAGGCAACGCGAACAGTGCGCTCACCTCGCCGAGGGCGCTTGGCTCCAAGGCTCGCCGGTACCGTAGTGAAAGACATTTGATCTCCATGGCCATTGCTTGAAACTGCGACAAGAAGAAAAGAGTGCGAGGAAACAACAGCTGCTGATTTATATTGCTTTAAGGCCTTGCAAGGTCGAACCTCTGTCGCTGGCCACTGGCAGACTGCGGTGACGGCGAGGACGTACACGATGAACAAGACGTAGTACAGCAGCGCCGGAACGACGTCTGCGTCGTTGAGGTCACTCTCGAGGACGTCCATCGCGCCTGTGGTGAGGCCGGCGAGGCTCAACAGCAGCGCCAGGATGCAGGGCCCGTTGGCGTCGCTGGACTTGCGCACCAGGTCGTGGAGGAGGAGCTGGCGCTGGCGCAGTGCTCGCCAGGCAAGGGCCGCCATGTGGCCGTCGATGCTGCGGTTGTGGAGGATGGCTTCGGGGCTTTGAAGGCCGGCGTCGTAGTCGTGGAGGACGGTGTCGTGGCCGTGGAGCACGGGGGGGCTGGCGTTGTGATCGTGAGGGACGGCGTCGTGGTCGTGGATGATGGCGTCCTCACCGAGGGCCGCCAGCACCGCGCGCTTCCAGTCGATGCGCAGGTCTGCGGCCGCGGCGCGCAGCACCGCCAGTGGGCACAGGATGCGCATATACAAGCAGGCGGACACGAACGCGCCCACCGAGAACAGCACCACGTACGCGACGGCCTGGGTCGTCCCGACCGCGCCACGGGCGGGGATCTGACTCATCTGGCCAACAAAAAGTGCGAAGTGTGGCAGCACGGTTATGATGGAGAACAGAAGCAGTGGGCGCCAGCGCGAGGTGCGCAGTGGATGCGCGTGCAGGTAGGCCTTGAGGCCGTTGAGGAGCACGGCCAGGTCGCGGCGCCGCGCAGTGTAGGCCAGGGCCTCGAAGAGCATCAGGCACCACCGCACCCGCGCCATTGGAGTCCAAGATCCGAGGCCGACCACTCCGATGAAGCCGCCGAGGGTGGCTAGCTGGCAGCACGTGGCCGCGGCCAGCAGGGCCACCACGGACATGGGGCGGGCCCGGCCGCCTCGCCACCACACCGGCACGAAGCCCAGTAAGGCCCCCAGCCTGCAGGCCGCCGCCCAGATGCGCAGCGTGGCGCCGCGGAAAGTCATGGCTCGGCACTTCAGACCGCCGAGGTGGCGAAGCGTCTGGCCCGCAATGTCGCGGAGGGCGCCTTTTGTCAGAGGCTTCCCTATTGTCAAAGCTATCGAGCGGCTTGGACATTGTTGGCTGAGCGATTGCGAATGTCATCCCGAGATTGGGGGTTGGGATAATCCGTGCGTAGAGGCCGTTTTAGCCACCTTAGAAAGTCACATGATAAATCTCGCTTGATTTGCTTGAATATGGCCCGGGGGGGGGGGGGGGGGGGGTAGTTTGGGGCGTACCGTGCCTTTTTATGTCCAACAATCGTGTAAATCTTGCCAGAATGTAAGACACTTGTCTGAAAACCTGATCAAAATTCGCGCACTCATGATGAAAGCATCTCCTTACATTCTGTAGAACTCAAACCACCAATATCAGAGTAAGTTTTCAGAATTTCAGCTTTCAGGGATGCGCGAATTTTGATCAGGATTTCAGACGTGTTTCTGACATTCTGACAAGATTTACACATGTGAAGGTATAAAAAAGAATCATTCCAATTTATTTTAAGCATTCTAATGGCTCGACCGCGAAGTGCGAAGAGTTCAATCGTCTGTGCCGTGTAGGCTTTCATTCCCTTATAGGCCATCTCCGAAGATTGCCTGCGGGCAGGGTTTGCGCTAAAATCAATATGGGTCATTCCAGGCCAAGTCAACCAGAGCCAAAACCTTGATGTCACCGATTTGGACCAAAGTTGGCGGATTGCCGTCAATAAGTATTAAGATCAATGCCCTTAAATGGTTTTGGCAAATTTCCCATACTTCCGGAGATAAAGCCATACTTCATTTTTGGCCATTTTGCAAAATGTAAAAACAGTGTTTCACTTAAGTGCCAATATCTTGGCTCCTATGAGACCTAGAGTAGTGATTCTGTGCTCATTCGAAAGGAAATGAAATTACGTGGAAACTGGCGTCGGTTTTGTGTCGATAAATGTCAAAATTGGAAATTTCACTGTAACGAAGAAATGGTGAACTTAATAGTGTAATTCCCGACGAACGCCATCTTCGATTTTTGAAATTTTTGTCCTGAAGGTCCATTGAGTTCCCTTCTTCATTGTCTTGAAGTATCTCAAGAAGTTCTTGGGTTTTGCGGTTTTTGTAGGGGGGAAAGTAAAAAGTCCTACTGTCGCTAGCCAGACCACTCAGCGGGCTGAAGGCACGCACGGGGGGCAGGGGGCGGAGCCCCGCTGCGAGCGTAGCGAGTCACATTATATATACCCGTCCCTCCGTCATTCTTTTTCCAAAAAATACACGGGACGGGCCAAAAATGGAAGGCACAATACTGTCATTATTAATTTCAACTTAAAGCGACCGATTGAGTCCGTATCTTGGTCCTTCTCATTGCATCGCATTCATAATCACAGGTCAGGTCGGTGAGAAAAATCTGCCGTCGGTCATGGTTTGCATAACCATTTATTGCAAATGTCTTTGGCTTAACTAATATAATTATATCAGCAGAAAGTCCAGAAGGGGTCAGAAACAAAATAGACGTGCAGCGAGAACAGGCCGTACTTCTCAACCCAGTCTTCTAAACACGCAGGGGAGTTCGGCGCGATTTTCTGCAACACAAGAAAAGTGCAAATATTTTAAATTAAGGGGAGGACACCAGCTAAAATGCACAGGTTCTAAAAAACGATCATTTTAAGAAGACTTATTAATTTTTCGATTGTGTTCTTGGCTCAAAATCATCTCAAATCAACGAAAAATCAGTGTAGGAGGGCAAGGTGGCGAAGGGAAGACAAGGCGGTTCCTTCTATGTATACGAACTGCCGAAAAGACACTTGGACGAAATCCGACACCCCCTGTGGCTTTGGTAGGGGTCTAAACACCCCAAAAACAGCTGTTTTCGAGGGTTTGGGACTAGATGGGTTCTCGCAAACCGAGATCCAAAAAAGTACCCAAATGGGTCTCAGATACTCAAAAAAATGCGCTCTTTCGAATGCCGTGTCGAACGAGGCTCTACGACGTCGGGTTTGGATGCTACGGGCTCTCAAAGTTGCTCAATTTCACTATTTTTACTGAAGATTTGAGCATATTAGGGCCGTTTGAAGTAGACCATCGGCGATTTCGCTCCTCTTTGTCTTAAATGGTGCCTACCCATAGGTAAACACCCCCACAAAATTTCAGCCATGTCAGGCAATTATTAGAGGAACTGTGAACAATTTAAGTTTTGGGTCATTTTACCACTGGGCCTAGGTGTTTTTGGGTCCAGAAAAAATAATTTTTTTAGCTATCTACTTTTGATCAGCACCTCTTGAAACGCCTTTTTAACATGGTGCCTCAAAACCCTCGAAAACAGCTGTTTTTGGGGTGTTTAGACCCCTACCAAAGCCACAGGGGGTGTCGGATTTCGTCCAAGTGTCTTTTCGGCAGTTCGTATACTCAGAAGGAACCGATAAAACACCACAAGCGCCCGCTCCTAGGATGTCGCCGACCAAGTGGTTTTTTTTGTCTGGAGCTTCTCATTGAAATCTTTTTATGCGGACACATGCCGCTAAGGGCTCAACTATGGCAAAAAAATGATTTTGAATTGGTTTTTTCTGGAAGGTGAAAAGAGATATACAGGGTGAGTTTTTTCAATATGTCAATAATTTGTAGGTAGCTTGGGCACCCCAAGAGGATCTTTTTTCACCACTGAACTAGTGGGCGCAAACGTCTAGGTACGGAAATAATTGATATTTAGAAATGGGCATTCACACCTGCCAGATATGCACCTGCTGTCAATGAGGGTCACAAGACCTCACGAGAGGATGTCGTGGGTCTAGCGGGGATGTTTTGAAGGTCGCAGTGGTGCGGCGGACCTTTCAATTGTAATTTCAGAGGGGTTGTCGAGGTTTTCAAGTGGCTGTCGTGGTGGCCTGCGTAACAGTGAATCTCGCGGCTGTCTTCACGAGGGAAGGAGGACTCAACGGTTTTCCTGTGAAGCCAGTGGCCCTCCCCCGAGTACTGCGAGTCCCATGACACCTACTCGTGAGGTCCCGCCACCCTCAGTGGCGGCGGAAGCCTACCTCGTGGGCGCCTAGGAAAATTACAAAACACTTTGTATCTCAGTAACTGGACGTTTGCGCCCACTAGTTCAGTGGCGAAAAATGATCCGCTAGGGGTGCCCAAGCTTCCTACAAATTATTGACACATCGAAAAAACTCACCATGTAGTGTTTTAACCAAGTTTTTCACGTTTTCATGGCTACTAGGGTGGGCCGTGAAACACGATTTTTCGATATCGCAAACGTAATAGCGCGCCAAAGTTACTTCATGGCATTACAAACTCAACGCGATCTGGGGCAGGTCTGTAACTTAAAGCTTGACCCTCGCGCATCGACGTTGAAAATTCGAAAATTCGACTTTTACGGGTTTTTCTAAAAACATCCATAGAAACTGAACCAGATGTCCAAATGATGTTTGCGAGACGGAAATGGAAACGTCTGATCATGCTTTATCAGTTTAAGACCACCGGGACCCTCTCCGAGCAGTAGGGGACCGATGGGAGAAAATTACAAAATTAAAATTTTTTTTTCCGTTTTTACAAAATGAAAAAATTGCCTTCGGGGTTTTGATACGGCCATCCTGACGTCCCCGTACCCGAACCATCCCCCGAATCATTTCTCTAAGGGCCCCCTTTTCCCCTTTTAAGCGCACGGGGTACTCCGGGGTCCGTTCACACGTTAGGATTTGGACGCCATAAAAACATGTTTTACTAAAAAAGCAAAATTTTCGGTACTTAGGGCACTCGTCACGTCCGTATGAATGTAGTGACTCAAAAGGATTACTAGATGGTGTCTTTGCGTCACAGGCACCTACAACCCATGCGATGGATAAGAATAACCTGTATAAAAGTGCAGCGACCTTCTGTCGTTAATCCAGACGAGCCAAATACGTTTTTAAATCTAGATTAACCAGTTTTCAGTGTAAATAGCGTTCTAAACGTCTCTTCGTCCGATTGTCTATATAGGTGGGTTCCTGCGACGCAAAGACACCATCTAGTAATCGATTCTGAGTCACTGCAGTTCATACGGACGGGGCGAGTGCCCCACAGTGCCCTGAGTACCGATAATTTGCATTTTTAGTAAAACATGTGTTTTTGGCGTCCAAATCCTAACGTGTGAACGGATCCGGAGTACCCCCTGCGCTTAAAAAGGGAAAGGGGCCCTTAGAGAAGATGATTCGGGGTATGGTTCGGGGCGGTGACGTCAGGACGCCGTATCAAACCCCGAAGGCAATTTTTGCTTTTGTAAAAAACGGAAAAAAATTGTAATTTTGTAATATTCTCCCATCGGTCCCCTACTGCTCGGAGAGGGTCCCGGTGGTCTTAAACTGATGAAGCATGATCAGACGTTTCCATTTCCGTCTCGCAAACATCATTTGGACATCTGGTTCAGTTTCTATGGATGTTTTTAGAAAAACCCGTAAAAGTCGAATTTTCGGATTTTCAACGTCGATGCGCGAGGGTCAAGCTTTAAGTTACAGACCTGCCCCAGATCGCGTTGAGTTTGTAATGCCATGAAGTAACTTTGGCGCGCTATTACGTTTGCGATATCGAAAAATCGTGTTTCACGGTCCACCCTAATGGCTACTGCTCTTGTCTTGTTTCAAAATGTGATCATTGCCGGGGTTTGACCATAAAACCGAGATAAAGGAACATTTTGCCGCAAGCCCCATTGAATCATCTCAATTCTTGCGCCTGTGAGGGTGGCACAAAGGTTCAAAAGTTGTGTATTGAGAAAGAGGTCTTTAAGGAGAAAAAGAGATTGAATGTGTTTTTGCATTAAAAATGCAAGTTTTGGCTTA